AGGTTATCAAGCAACCTTACCTCCTCTCTCCCAGGAGCCAGCTTGTTTATGTCTCTTTAGCCATCCCTAGGAAGAAGGTGTCAATCAGCATATTGCTTTTAAAAACCTTTTTATAACAGTCTCTCCTTGTCCCTTTCATCTCTGGAAACCATTTATTCCAGAGTCATTGCTGATTCTTTCATTCCATGAAGTTATTAAAGTTCTGAAGTTTATAGTATCTCAATACTCCATTTGCCCACTTACTTAACCTATCAATGTCTCTCTGTAAAACTGTTTATATCCCCAGACAACTTGCCTTTCCACCTATTTTTGTGGCATCTGCCAATTTAGCAAAAGTACATTCATTTCTATCCTCCAAGTCATTAATATATGTTACTGATACTGGCTGAACTCGACCAGTGTTGTTGGGGGTTTCCAAGATGCAAATGTTGGCAGGAAGTTATGTCTGGTGACCAGGATTGGATGCTGACATAGCCACGTTGGTGGGGCAGTGCCCAGAGTGCCAGCAAGGACAAAAATTGCCACCGGCAGCTCCCCCACATTTGTGGGAATGGCTGGGTAAACCCAAGACTCGGTTACATCAACTATGCCAGACCTTGCCCACACTCTTCTTCGTCGTTGTGGGTGCCCATTCAAAGTACTTGAACATGCATAGAATTCATTCGTTAAACATGGGGACAATGATTGAAAAGTTGTGAGCATCTTTTGCATTACATGATCTCCCAGAGTTGTTGGTCACAGACAATGGACCTCCATTTACCAGCAGGGAATTTTATAATTTCCTAAATTCAAGTGGTGTTCAACCTGTAAGGACAGCTCCATATCATCCATCATCCAATGGCCTAGCAGAAAAGGCAGTTCAAACTTTGAAGGTAGGCTTAAGGAAACAGCCTACAGTGTCACTCAATACCAAACTGTCCTGGTTCTTGCTTGATTAAAGGACCATCCCTCATGCAACTACAAAGACAGCTCCAGGAGTGTTGCTAATGGGGAGAAGACTCCACTAGGTTAGATCTGATCTTCCAGACCTGTGAGGGTTGGGTGAAATGGTGTCATGACAGCCACTGCTGACACAAGACTCCGCAAAACAAGAAAGGCAGTTTCCTTCAGGAGACGAAGTTTGGTGTCGACACATGGAATGGCTCTGCCTGGTTAAGAAGTATGATCAGCGCGAGGTCAGGTCCTGTGACATACAAAGTTCTGGTAAGAGAGGCTGTCCTGAACAAGCACGTGGACCACATGAAAGCTACAAACTTGCAAATGGGACCAGACCAAAACATACCCAGCCCCTCAGAACATCCAGCAAGGCTTTCAGAAACCGTGGGTTCTCTCCCTCCACCTAGTGGTGAAGAATTCTCTGAGGACAAGTTGGACATGGCAGATGTCCAGCCTTGATGCTGTTGCTGCCTGAAGAATAAGATGAATTTCTTGCAAGACGCTCCAGGCGCAAGACGTGGGTGACAGTCTGGCACGTGCCACAATTATCTGAGGCAGAGTCAGAGGAACCCAGACCTCGTGCGAAAACGGCCTGGGAGCACCAAATGAATAAGGAACGGGCCTGCGTCCTAAGACTTAAAGGGGAGGGATGTAGTGATTTGAACGAGGTCAGCCAGGTGGTAATCATAGAGTGAGTGATTGGGGCTGTTAACCTGTCTAATCCTGGCTGACAGATATAAACAGACTGTCAGGGTTTCTGCTCACTCAAGGAGCCGGTTCTGAGGCAGCTTGGTCAGTGTCATGTACCATGTATGTGTAAATAAAGGGTGACTTGGTGACAGGACACTGGCCTTCGTGGAGTTATTTTAAGGTACTTTGAATGCCTTCTGCAAGTCCAAATACAACATGTATTGGTTCTCATCTGTCCTCTCTGTGATTTCTCCTCCTGACCGTGCAAAGCTTACATGGCTGAGAAGTATACGCGAATGCAGCTGGAGCCATTACATGACCTTTCTTGGTGCTGTTAGTGACGGCATCTGATGACGTGCAAACGAGGAGCAAGAGTAGGTTATTCTCCACCTTCTTGGGCCTTCTTTGTCCTTATCAGATCGTGGCTGATCTGACTATAACTTCAAATTCATATCCCCACTTACCTGTCATGACCTTTCCCTCCTGCTTACTAAGAATTTATGCACTTCTGCCTTAAGACTTTGTTCAAAGACTTTGTTTATGCCACCTTTTTCAGGGAGACTTTTGTCTCCTCTCTATTTTAAATGGATAACCCCTTAACAGTGATCCCTACTTCTAGATTCTTCTGTAAGAGAAAATGTTCTTTCCACGTTCATCCTGTCAAGACCTTTTAAGCTTCTATACAGTTCAATCAAGTCACTTCTAACTCATCTAAACTCCAGTGGATATAAGCCTAGCATATTTGGCCTGTTCTTACAGAACAACCTGTCCATTCCATGTATTAATCGGCAAACCTTCTCAGAACTGTTTCCCGTGCAGTTACATCCTTCCTTAAATAAGGTAACCAGTACTGTACACTGTGCTTCAGAAGTGGTCTCATTAATACCTACATAAGTGAAGTATAACTTGCTTCATTTTATATCCTGGTAATAAATGATAATATTCCATTATCTTTATTAATACTCACTGTGTCTTCATGCCAGTCTCTTGCAAGTCAAGCGCCTCCATGCCAGTCTCTTGCAAGTCATGCGCCAGGGCGTCTAGATTCTCCTGCATCTACAATCTCTCAACATTGAGATTAAATGTTTGTTTTTATCTTTACTGCCTCAATGAAAAATCTCATTTTATCACATTTGCCATATTTTTACCCAATCATTTAAATCTATCTCAAACTTTTATTAACATCTTTATGTCCTCTTCATAACTTTCTTTTTCATTCTATTTTTGTGTCATTAGCAAATTTGACAACTATACCTCCAACTCGAAGTCATATATGTTGTAAGCTATTAAGGTCCCAGCAATGATGCCTGTATTATACCAGTTATTATATCCTCCCAACGTGAAGAAACCATTGTGCTTTCTGCCCTGTTAGCTGGACAGTTTTCTATCGTGTCAATATGTTACCCCATACACCACAAGTTTTTACTTTGTGCAATAACCTTTGGATGTGGCACTTTGAGTTAACGTTTTTCTCCATCCCACTGTTTCCTAACCCTTTGAGCGCACCCCCCCCACCCCCCACCACTTAGGCTATAACGGCTAGGACATAACAATATTTTAGATGCTGGATATTAGAAGTTATAACAGAGTGCTCAAAATATTCAGATTAGACAGCATCTGTGGAGAGGGAAAGTAAGTTAATATTCTGGGTCGCTGACATTTTGTCAAGTGGAGAATAGCTGCAGTTTGCAAGCCTTAATAGGGACAAAATTTTACTTTGTCTTTTAATGCACAAATTATGCACAAGTAATTTAATTTAGTTGAGAAGTGCAAACTGCGTTGCAAAATCCAATGGGTGTTTAATGTGAATCCTGCAATGTGCTGCAGTGTGAGTCCATTCTGTTTTCTTTGAATCACAAGTGTACCACTGTTGCCTCAAATCATTCACAGTACCATCTATTGAACTAAGTTGAGGTGTGGGAAGAGCTTCAGGATCAATGATTTTGTGGTTTAATTAACTGAAATAAATTATTTGGGAGCTTAACTGCCATTGAGAAATGATCTTAGAATACAAAAGCTGTTATAAGTTGAGTAACATCACTGAATTTATTTTGTTCCCCAGTAAATTTTGATTTTAAGTTTAAAACTGTTCTAAGATTTTGAGTGTTAGAAGTTCTATGTCACAATTCATAGAAATTTCATAACTGTTATAAAAATGTAAAGTTTCTTATACCAAAGCAAAATGAGAATGTGTGCTGTCATGAATATAGTAGAGAGTGAGAAGACCTTTTATATTCATGCTGTTTTTTGTTCTTTTTAGGCTTGGCGAAAGCATTGCTGCCAATAATGCATATAAACAACAGAGCACTGACCATGTAATGAAAAAAGTTCCTGTCCATCAGCATTCAGCAAGCATTGTCAAATCAAAATGTTTAAGTACAACCAATGTTGCCAGATCTAATATCCATGAGTTGATTGATAAATTGCAGTTAGGAGTGGAGGTTTGTACTGCATGTTCATTGGACATAAAAGTTATTTGTCACTTACCTCTAATATTGTGCTCTGATCTGGTTGATGCTAACACTTTCCCAGAGGGCACTGGAGATGCTGTTGAATCATGATGTATAACATCTAATCTTTCTGTTTAGTCATGGGATGTGGATATTGATGACAAGACCAGCATTTATTACTTGCCCCTAATTGTTCTTGAGAAGTGAAGAGCTTCCTTCTTGAATTGATGCAGTCTGTCTGGAAATAGGAAAGTAACTCCATGATTTTGACCCTCTGATCAAGAAAGCACATTGATATATTTCCGGGTCATGAAGATTTATGATGTGGCGGAAGTGGTGTTCTCCTGTGTCTGCTATCGTTGTCCTTCTAGTTGGTAGAAGTTGCCAGATGGCAGGTGCAGTTAGGAAAAACAGTGTACACAGCAGTATATCTTGTAAATGGTATAACTACATCCATATTTGAAATGGTGTTGGGATGCTAGTCAAGTGGGCTGCTTTGTCCTAGATGGAGCCTCTTGAGTATCAGAATTGTGTGGAAAATTTGAGAAAATATTTTAATCATATGTTTCTTGAAATTGTACGTATAGTAAACTTCGTATTAACTGGCAACCATGGGACCAGGAGTGTGACGGTTGATCAGATATTCCAGATGATCAAGAGGTTCACATAATCACTGTAAGAACATACACTAAATAATAGAAATGTAATGCAGGGTCGTACACATTACTGTTATACTTTATTTACAGCATAGATCACTTAAATAATAATGCTGCTTTGCCGTAAATAAAACTTGCTGGCAGAGAGCTTTTTCATTTGCAACCTCAACTGACTACTCGGACATCGTGGCAGGTTGCATATTTGAGGAGATATTGACTCAAAATTGAGCCAACTGTTGATATTCATGTGATCATTCAATTGAGCAATAAGTATATTTACATTGAGGTAAATAAATTTAAAAAAAACTACAGTAATTGGACAGAATAATTTAGTAAACTTCATGGTATCTGAGGTATATAATTTTGCAGGTTTATCGAGCGTTCCAGTTAATAAGGTGCTAGTTAAAACAATGTTTGCTGTATTTAAAACTGGCCTCAAAGCACAAGTAATAAACTTATCTACCAAACGGTTATAATTTAAAACAAAAACAGAAATTGTTGGTGAAACTCGGTAGCATCCGTGGGAGAAACCAGAGATAACATTTCAAATCCAGTGACTCTTTTTAAGAACTCTCTTATAATTTAGGTTTTATTGTCAGTTGTTTTACGTAAGGTATGAACGGATATAAAATAGTTTGTTTTTCTTAAACATTTTGCTAAGAATCCTGAGATTCTTTTTAATTTAAAATTTAATTTTGTTTTTATTTGGCTTAATAAAGGTGAAGGAACAAGTCAAGGATGTGAGACTGTCAGATGTAATGGATGTATACGAACAGAAGCTTTCATCTCTTGCTGTAAGTACCAATTAAAAGTTGGTAAGTCTACATGCTTCATGTTATACAAACCGAAATCTCACTATTGCAGAATGAGGCCTTATTTTAAGAGTTGGGAAACAACATTTAAAATTCTGAGAATACTTTAAAATTTCCACTCATTGTGCATTTTCTTTAACAGGATGTTTTCTGACAACGGAAGACCAGATTGTGAAGGGATTGTTGAACCGTTCTTTCGTTTGTTGCAGCAGTTGCACTTTAATAGCAAAAATGAAAGGTCTACCTCTTCCTTTATCAATGTGTTTTGTCACATCCTCAAAGAATTCAATAAGGCTCGTGAGGCATGACCTGCCCCTCAGAAAGCCATGCTGACTACTTCTAATCAAACTGTGCTTTTCCAAATAATCATAAATACTATCTCTCAGAATCCTCTCCAATAATTTGCCCACCACAAAAGAAAGACTGACTGGTCTGTAATTCCCAAGGTTACCCCTATTCCCTTTCTTGAACAAGAGAATAACATTTGCAACCTTCCAATCATCTGGTACTACTACAGTGGACAGTGAGGACGCAAGGATCATCGCCAAAGGCACAGCAGTCTCTTTGCTCGCTTCCTACAGCAACCTTGGGTCTATACCATCTGGCCCAGGGTGCTTATCTATCCTCATATGACCTTTTGGCACATTAATTGGAAGTAAACTTCATAAGAATATCTCGGTTGAAAATAAAATACTAGTGCAGTCTGGATTAGGGTAGAGAAGTAGCATGAGGGAAAAGAATTACCTTCTGTTACCAAGTAACATTAATGAAACAACTTGGCTTGAGCTATTTGCAGTTCAACAACCAATTTTAAATCAAGTGGCTCAATAGTTAAATAGATAAAGAGCCTCTTCACACAAGCCTAAAATTAAGAGTTCTTTGTTCTTCTGGCATTATGTAATATTTCAATTTTTTTCTGGATTATGGGTGCAATGGGTCAAATTTATCTGTTTTGCTTGTAAGACAACTTCCTTATTTGAAATTGTGACAATTGAAATATATGAAACAGGGTAGGGAAACAGCTTCCTTTTTTCAATTTGCTGTTTTATATGATGCAACATACGTATTTTTGGGGATAATTTTGGATATGGTTGCGCATAGTTTATCTGTAATTTATTTCTTTATTTTTCTTATGTTTGCACATGTAAGTTTGGAGGGATGCACCAAAGGCAATGTCTTTGTTATGAAGTTGTGTAAAGTACTTGTGAATTGGAAGGCAGGAAGCTAGAATTTGTTTGTGAAAAAAAGTAAGGAAGAAGAATGTGTGGCTGCTTTTAAGAGGTAAAGTGCTTTTCTAAGCTTAGATTTATACAGAAAATGTGTCTAAGCAGCTAAAGGGGTACAGACAGTTCTGAAATTGAAACATGTATCAATTCGTTGATAATGCAACAACCTTAGGCTTGGCAACTAGCTTTTGGTAACTAGGTCCCACTGAGGCAAGGAAAGGATGGTAAGGTGAAGGAACCTTGGATGACAAGACATGTGGAACATCTAGTCAAGAGGAAGAAGGAAGCTTACTTAAGGTTGAGGAAGCAAGGATCGGACAGGGCTCTAGTGGACTACAAGGTAGCCAGGAAGGAACTGAAGAATGGACAACCCTGAGGTGTCTTATACTTATGTGAGGAACAAGAGGATGGCCAGAGTGAGGGTAGGGGCTGATCAGGGATAGTGGAGGGAACTTGTGCATGGAGTTGGAGGCGGTGGGGGGCATCCTCAGTGAATACTGAAGCAAAGTATTCATTCAGTGAGAGGGACCTTGACGTTTGTGAGGACAGCATGAAACAGGCTGATATGCTCGAACAGGTTGATGTTAGGAAGGAGGATGTGCTAGAAATTTTGAAAAACATGACGATAGATAAGCACCCTGGGCCAGATGGTATAGACCCAAGTTTACTACAGGAAGTGAGGAAGGAGATTGCTGTGCCTTTGGCGATGATCTTTGCGTCCTCACTGTCCACTGGAGTAGTATCAGATGATTGGAAGGTTGCAAATGTTATTGGAAGGGTTCTGAGAAAGGGTCACTGACCCCGAAACGTTAACTCTGTTTCTCCTCCACAGATGCTGCCAGACCTGCTGAGCTTTTCCAGCAACATTGCTTTTGTTCCTGATTTACAACATCCGCAGTTCTTTTGGTTTTTATTGCAAATGTTATTCCCTTGTTCAAGAAAGGGAATAGGGATAACCTTGGGAATTACAGACCAGTCAGTCTTTCTTTTGTGGTGGGCAAATTATTGGAGAGGATTCTGAGAGATAGTATTTATGATTATTTGGAAAAGCACAGTTTGATTAGAAATAGTCAGCATGGCTTTCTGAGGGGCAGGTCATGCCTCACGAGCCTTATTGAATTCTTTGAGGATGTGACAAAACACATTGATAAAGGTAGAGCAGTGCACGTGGTGTACATGGATTTTAGCAAGGCATTTGATAAGGTTCCCCGTGGTAGGCTCATTCAGAAAATGGGATTCGGGGAAATTTGGCTGTCTGCATACAGAATTGGCTGTCCAATAGAAAACAGAGGATGGTAGTAGATGGAAAGTATTCAGCCTGGAGCTCGGTGACCAGTGGTGTTCCGCAGCGATCTGTTCTGGGACCTCTGCTCTTTGTGATCTTTAAAAATGACTTGGATGAGGAAGTGTAAGGGTGGATTAGTAAGCTTGCTGACGACACAAAGGTTGGTGGAGTTGTGAATAGTGTGGAGGGCTGTTGTAGGTTGCAACGGGATATTGACAGGATGCAAAGCTGGACCAAGAAGTGGCAGATGAAATTCAACCCGGAAAACTGTGAAGTGATTCATTTTGGAAGGTAGAATTTGAATGCAGAATACAGGGTTAATGGCAGGATTCTTGGCAGTGTGGAGGAACAGAGGGATCTTGGGGACCATGTCTGTAGATCCCTCAAAGTTGCGACCCAAGTTGATAGGGTTGTTAAGAAGGCATATGGTGTGTTGGCTTTCATTGGCAGGGGAATTGAGTTTAAGAGCCGCGAGGTTATATTGCAGCTCTATAAAGCCCTGCTTAGACCACACTTGGAATATTGTGTTCAGTTCTGGTCACCTCATTATAGGAAAGATGTGGATGCTTTAGAGAGGGTGCAGAGGAGATTTATTAGGATGCTGCCTGGACTGGAGGGCAGGTCTTATGAGGAAAGGTTGAGGGAGTTAGGGTATTTCTCATTGGAGCAAAGAAGGATGAGAGATGACTTGATAGAGGTGTACAAGATGATGAGAGGCATAGATAGAGTGGATAACCAGAGACTTTTTCCCAGGGCGGAAATGACTATTATGAGGGGGCATAATTTTAAGGTGATTGGAGGAAGGTATAGGGGAGATATCAGAGGTAGGTTTTTTACACAGAGTGGTGGGTACGTGGAATGCGCTGCCGGCAGTGGTAGTGGAGTCAGATACATTAGAGACATTTGAGTGACTCTTGGATAGGCACATGGATGATAGTGAAATGTAGGGTATGCAGGGTAGTTTGATCTTAAAGTAGGATAATAGGTCGGCACAACATCGTGGTCCGAAGGGCCTGTACTGTGCTGTACTGTTCTATGTTCTAGCTGGAATCAGCCAATTAATTTAAACCAAACATTTAGCGATTGAAAGCCAATTGAATTTAAATCTGATGGTTTTGACAACCTCAGACCAGTGCTATTGTAAGAAAATTGATATGTCATCCAAGGCATATAAGAAGAGGGTTTTTGAAAATGGGTGTGAGAGTGAACCACCATCTGAGAAATAATCATTGAGCTCTCACAAGAAAGCACCATTTGTCCATGAAAGGTACCACAGCACTTCTAGCTAAGAATCGTCGCAGAAGACCTCACAGAGAAAACATCCCTGGCAGCCGGAGTAGCGGAAGAAATGCGTTTATGACTTGAGAACAGTAGAAGAAAGGCATGTAGACTTTGAGAGACTAAGTTTTAGTTTGTTTTCTTATTACTTGTGTTTATATAAGTGGAACTTGTGTTTATTGGAACAGCATACCAGTAGAATTTAGTCCAGTTAGGGAATAGTTAGTAGTTAAAGGGGAATTGTTCAGTTTGTTAGTAATTCTATTAATTTGTTCTCTGATAGGGTTAAATAAATAAATTGTTGCTTGTTACTTATAAAGTGAATATCAGGGATTTTCTTTCATTTAACCTTCCCTTCTCTGTAATAGTTTAACAGATTAGGTGAGGTGTGGCGAGCTTCTCTAGGTGTTTCATGTTTAAATATTAGAAGGGGACCTCTACTCTTGCTGTACAAATTGGGGCTTGTGTTTCGATTGGGTTCAATTTTTCCTTCCTAACAGTCTGTAATTTATTTCTTTTCTTTTGCGTCATGTTTACACATGTAAATTGAGGGGATGCCACTTACGTCTCCTGTTTCTGTAACGTTACAAAGCGATTAATGTTCAGGTAGAGGTGGCTGTCCCATCATTTATTCCTTTGCATTTCTCCCTTCACTGGTGATGGGACGTGTCAGTAGAGTGCAACTTTACATATCCTTGTTTCATATGCATTTGATTGACGGACTTTGGAGCACCACAGTTTTTTTTTCTGAAATGTGTTTCAATATTAACAATGTTTAGCATGAATATAATTTTAAGATCAACCTTTTATTTTGCTTAGTCCAAAGAAAACCGTTTGCAGGACTTACTGGAAGCCAAGGCACTGGCCCTAGCACAAGCAGATCGTTTGATTGCCCAGTACCGTTGTCAGAGAGCCCATGCAGAAGCAGAGGTATTTTGACTACATCATAAAAATCATTTTAAAACATGCTATCTCCTCTTCATTCAGTTTTTGAATTCAGCTTCTTTTGATCTGTTCTCTTAAATAAATTGCACAATTCATGATTTTTAATGGAAAGATGTTGTCAGGGATAGACTAATTTTTGCATTTTTCTAGTTTTATGGATTTATGAAGTATAGTAAGATAAGGCACAATTTAATGGTTTTGCTGTGCTAATATCTATGAAATGGAAAGTAAAAAGATAATCAAATGTGAAATGTTAGTACTATAGAAATCTCTTTCACAGCTGAAGTTCTTTTATTCTAGGGAAATGACAGCAACGATCAATCATTAAATATTTTTGTAAATATTTTATAGTTAATCAATTGTATGGAATTTATCGTGAGTTGTTACATTTTATCAATTATTAGGATTTTATTGTTGTAGGCACGACAGTTGGCTTCACTTCTAATGGATGCAGAGAGAAAAAATGAAGAACTTGATGGAGTACTGAAGACCCAACTATTGGAATCCGACCGTGCCAAGGCTGATATTCAAGAGCTCTATCAGCATAATTGTAAACTACAGGCTATTTCTGAAGAGCACGAGTCCTTAAAAGTTACCTCAAAAAGTCTTGCTCAAAAGTAAGGTTTAGTCATTTCTGATTTTGTTTTGAGCAGTAATCCTTGGCTGTCATCGGTGCAGACGTAATAGGCCAAATGGTCTCCTGCACTGTAATAATTCTGTGAAAAATGAATTACAGCAGCGACATCATGTTCATAGACAACAGTTAAACTACTCTTTTATGGTACGACAGAACATTAGTTTCGCTAGTACAAATGAGTTTTATTGTATTTAATGGAAATCATAGAGTTCAAGAGTTCAATGCAAGGCTTCCTCAGAGCAATATCCGAGGTCCACCTGTTTTCAGCTGCTTCATCAATGATCTCGCTCCATCATGAGGTCAGAATTGGTGATGTTGCTGATGATTATGCAAGATTCAGCACCATTGCGAGTACTCAGGTACTGAAGACATTCGTGTCCATATGCAGCAAGACCTCGACAACATCCTGATTCTTACCACTCAAATGTCATGCAATGACAGTCTGCAGCAGGAGAAAATCCATAGCCATCTTCCATCATATGCAATGGCATTACTATCATTGAATTTCCCTACTATAAGCACCCTGTAGGTTATCATTGAGCAGAAATTGAATTGGATCAGCTGTACATGTCCTGTGAGTGCAACAACAGAAATTCAGTGGTATGTAATCCATCTGCAAGGCTTAAGCCAGGAGTGTGATAGAATAGCCCCTACTTATATGGATGGGTTCAGCTCTAACAGCATTCCCTTCACCACTGATTCAATGGTACTTATGTGTACCATTTAAGACGTGCTGCTGTAATTCACCAAATTTCCTTTGACAACACCTACTAGTCCCATGAACTTTATCGCCTCAAAAGTCAACGGCAGCAGATGCACGGGAGCACCACCAACTGCAAGGTTCACTCCAGGCTCCGCACCATCCTGACTTGCAATTATATTGCCATTCTTTCACTAGACAAAATCCTGCAAAGCCCTTGATGGTAAGACTTCGGGTGTTTCTACACCCCAAGATTTGCGGCGGTTCAAGACGGCAAGTCAACACCATCTCCTTCAAGGAAATTGGGGATCATCAATAAATGCTGGCCTAGCTGACATGTCCCCATTCCATAAACAAATTAAAATAATTGCACTTCAGTAACTTTATTATATATTATATAAAGTGTATTTTTCACTAAATAACTTCTTGAAAATATATTCCAAAAATCCAGTTCCAGATTTGTATTTTTACATAAATTTCATTTTAGTCTTGAGACAGTCGAAAGGCAACTTGAAGAACTACAGACTGAACATAATTCCTTAAGTAAACAAAGCGAGCTGCTCAAAAGGCAAATTGACACCCTTAAACAACAGAATGATAGGTAAGTCAACATTCTTAACTTTGATTATATGTATTCACTGAATTCAGTAACAATGGCTTTAAGTCATGCATTTATCAAGTGGATTTTGTTCTTGTTTTTTCATTTTCTGAATCTTAGATGCCTTGCTCATTTAGCAGAGCTGGAAGCACAGAAGAATGATTTGTGCATTCAGTTAAAGGAAAAGGACACTAAATTATTGGGTATGCCTTTTGGTTTTTCACTTATTGATGATCATGTCTTCTGCTTTAACATTTATTTATTGTTTGAACAGAAACATTGAATTGTGCAAGTATGCTTGAAATGGCTGATCTCATCAGGGGTATAATGTAATTAGCCTGATTTATGAGGTAGTTCGCCTGCTCGCTTCAGTATGTTTTCTGATTGTGGTTGCTTTATACAACTGATAACTTATTACTTTGCTTCCTGGTATTAGAAATCTGTATGATTTTATTGAGAGCTTAAAAGGACAGGAAATAGTAGGAAAAATTAGAAATAAAATTCCTGCTATCTTAAGGGTATGTAATTTATGTTTGAATTGTGCTTTCTATTGTGTGGATTTAACTTTCTTTAAAATTTAAGCAGATCGCATAAGTTTATAACTTACAAAGTGTTGTCCTTTACCCTGTTTGACATTTCCTCCTCCAAGTTGAGTGCAAACACAAACTTAAAAAGTTATGTTGCAACTGATATAAGCCAGTTTTCGAAGAAGGGAATCTTAGAAGAGATCACAATTCAATTCATTATACAAATGTTAAAAAAAAAAGCCAGCTGTATAATATGTACTCATTTACTGATATGTACATTGGCATGCAATTTATACATAAGTCACAGTGCACATTTTTGTAAAAATACTTTGTTACCCAGAGAAGTCAAGTTTTGAAGGATTAGGAGTTTATTACAGGTTTTGTTGACATAACTGGAGTGGTTTTTTTTTTGAAGTAAGTCGTTGAAAGTTCATTGTGGAGCTTTTTAAACAAGGCTTCCTAGAAATTACACAGCTGGTGATAACTGCCTCCTTGGCTGTAAATCCTGCTGGAGCTATATTGAATTGATTTGATTTATTATTCTCACATGTACCAAGATACAGTGAAAAGTATTGTTTTGTGTGCTAACCAGACATACCCTACATATGTACATCAATGCAATAGAACAGAATGCAGAATACAGTGCTACAGCTATAGAGAAGGTGCAGAGAAAGATCAACTCCAAGTATGTGAGAGGTCCATTCGTAAGTCTAATGAGAGCAGGGAAGAAGCTGTTCTTAAATCTGTTGGCATGTGTTTTCAAACTTTTGTATCTTTTGCCCAATGTAAGAGGGTGGATGAGAGTATAACTGGGGTGGAAAAGGTCTTTGATTATGTTGGCTGCTTTCCTGAGGCTGCAGGAAGTGTAGATGGAGTCAGTGGAAAGAAGGCTAGTTTTCGTGATGAACTGGACTATTTTCTCAACTTTCTGTAATTTCTTGCAGTCTTGGGCAGAGCAGTTGCCATACAAAGCTGTGATGCATTCAAATAGGATGCTTTCTATGGTGCATCTGTAAAATTGGTAAGAGTCGTTGTGGACGTGCCGAATTTCCTTAGCCTTCTGCCGACGTGAAGGCATTTTTAACAGTGACTGACTTGGAAAGATTCTTGTTTTATTGGAACGTCTGCTAACAACATCCCGCCTAGCTGATCTCTCATTACTGAAAAGAAAATCCTTTACATTAGTTCAGGTTGAAATCTATTCATTCTTTTGAATGGGTGATTGAAAGAGCATCTCGTGTTTGTCCCTCTTGCACAAGCTGTCTCTGTATGACTTTAGAGAATCATGTATGATTAGTTATTTGACAACATGTACCAGGCCCTGAGAACCACAGACTATGCAACATCCTACACTTTATCCTTTTGCCTTCAAGAATAGCCATTGGCCAGGGTTTTTTTCTTTACAATACCAATCTGTGAAGAGATTTTCTTCTTTCAGTCTTTTCCTGAAGAGTATGTGTGTTTTGAGCCTATACATAGGGATAAACATTTATACTTTTGTATTACTGATTGCATGTTTGTTGAATAAGTTTTGTTTTGATAATAAACCCATAATTTTGTTTATTAAGAAACCAAGTTGATGTGTCTTTTAGTTTAATACCTGATAAGATATTTATCATGTTGATAACTGGGAAAAGTATTCTTATGTTGCAACTGTCATGGAGAAGTGGGACTGAAGTAACAGTGCACTCCAGCCTCAGTCATAACAACATGTTCATGTATCTTCTAGCTTCTTGATACTATTTTCTTTTAATGCAACAAATAATCAGTTAAGGAGAAGAATGCAGAATGATTCTCATTAGATCACACCTCTGCAACTACTCTTTGCCCTTAAGGATAAAACTAATTGTGAGTCTAACCAGTTTAGCACATCGGCAAGTCTGAGTGGCAATGCACATAGTTGCATGATTCAATGCTAGCTTAAATAATTCTGACTAATGTCCAAGAGCAGCTGTTCTTATTTATTCACAATGGGCATTTGATGCCCATCCCTAGTTGCCCTTGAGAAGGTGGTGATGAGTTGCTGCCTTGAATTGCTGTAGTCCATTTGATGTAGTTAGATAGACTCCTAATGTTGCTTGTTCGTTGAGAGACTGACTGGACCAGGGGATGGAATAGTATTGGTACTAATATTGAATTAAGAAACGAGCTAACATGAAGGTATAGCTTTAGAAAAGAAGACACCAGTAAAGAGCAGTTCAAGTACAAGATTCCATTTAATCATTTCTTCAGTTTGCATCCTGATGGACTGGAAATTCACCAGGTTAATTCACCACCGCATTACAGGTGAAACTGCTTCACAGTGGGAGAAGGGCATCAAATACAAAAGAGAACAATTAATTGTAATATTTTCACTTTGCATATTAATCTCAAGCCACTAAATTATTTTTTCTATAATGATTGGCAGGTTTGGAGCAAAAACTCCAGGCACAACAAGAAAAAACAAAGCTATCAGAGAAGGAAAAACAGAACCTAGAAGAAGCTATTGACGTTCTCCAAAAGGAGCTTAGCAAAACGGAAATAGCCAGGAAAGAGCTCAGTATTAAGGTAAATGATGTCTTTAGAATAGTTATTCAGTCTGCCTTTCAGAAGATTAGAGAATTGCATGTAATGATCATGATAACTAGTTTGGAGTTATACAGAGACATTGCATTACTCTGGAGAGTACAGAGTTATTACAATGATGTCTAGCTATTTGATAGTGAAAGTAAACTTCCGATTACAGGGGATGCAAATCCATTTGGAGGAGAGACCAGTATATCGGATTTTAAACCGAGAGAATATCAAGCTATTTTACTGCCTTGTATCTAAAATCTAACTGGGGATGTAAAATGCCTGCTTTGAACAGTAGTATACCCAAAAAGAGGAGAATGTTTCCTAACCACTGCCTTGAACACAGCCAGGATAATTTGATAAGTTCTCTCTCAATTTTTTTGGATAGCTGTCCCTTTCCAAATTTGAGCTTGTGCCCTAATTCTGTGTAAATTAGCATTCAGACTTAAGAGCCTTAATAATGCTTGATGAGTGCAATTGAGAAATCCTTTAATATGATGTGTCCTTCTGAATTTGGATTATAAAAAAAACAGTGTGACTTGAGAAATGGCAGATGATGATGTTTGCATGCCCTTGTACTTCTACATGGTAGAGTTTGCAGGTTTGGAAGGTGATAGCAACTCCCCTGGGCTCCTTTGCTACAGTGCATGCTTAAATGGTATACACTGCTGTCACTATGCATCTATGATGGAGTGAATGGATATTGAAGCTTGTGTTTAGGCTGCCATTCAAGAAGGTTACTTTGTCTAAGATGGTCTTGAGCTTCTTCATAGAAGCAGGCCATTTGGCCCATCGAATCCACACCGACCCTCTGAAGAGAATCCCATCCAGAACCACCCCGAACCTTATCCCTGAATTTCCTATGGCTAATTGACTTAGCCTGCACACTATGGGCAATTTAGCATGGCCAATCTACCAGTACGTCTTTGGACTGTGGGAGGAAACTGGAGCACCCAGAGGAAACCCACACAGACAGGGAGAATGTGCAAACTCCACACAGACAGTCACCTTAGATATAGAATTGAACCCAGATCCCTGGCATTGTGAGGCAGCAGTGCTAACCACAGAGCCATTGTGTTGCCACACTCTCAAGAGTTGATTCCATTACCCTCCTGACTTGTGCTTCATAGATGGCAAATGGGCTTTGGGAGCCAAGAAGTGAATTGCTTCCTGCAAAATGAACTAATCACTCACATAAGAAGAGTCATATTCAACTCAAAAGATAACTCTGTTTCTCCCACCACAGATGCTGCCAGCCCTGCTGAGTTGTTCCAATGCTTTCTGTTTTAAATTACACCAGAAATTTTATTTTTAATTGACAGCGAAATTGATTTCACTTAATTACTATTTAGCTTTCTGAAAAAATACATTTTTAACATTTTGCACATAGTCAGGTGTTTGCCATTGAACATACTTTTAAACCAAAACTCTGCAAGATATTGCACAATGTTTCATTCTGTTTTCAGTTTGTAGTAATGTTCATAACGTCACCCAGCCTACACTTGGCAGAACATCTACGTTCTGCTCGCAAAAATGACCCTGAACTACTTGTTGCCTGCCACTTTAACGCACCATCCTGTTCCCTGGCCAGCATCTCTGTCTCTGACTTGCTGCAGTGTTCCAACAAAGCTCAACGGAAGCTGGAAGAACAGCACCTCATTTTCCCCTTGGGGATCCTGCGTCAATAATTTTAAGGCCTAAACTCTCCCATGTCCCAGCCCCCTACTCCACACACCAGGCCTTGTTACCACATAGCCTGCCATTACACACCACCTATTGTTAGTCACTAATAGTCCCCATTAACAACTATTCACCCTCTCAGCCTGATCATGATCAACTCTTTGTCCAACTGCTGTTCTCTCTGTTTAGGCTCTATCCTATCGTTTACTCCCTACCCCATCCCCCTCCCTTTTTTCTGCATATAAACTGACGTTTTCCCAGCCACCGGTTCTGAGGAAGGGTCACCGGACCCAAAACGTTAACTCTGTTTTTTCCTTCACAGATGCTGCCAGACCTGCTGAGCTTTTCCAGCAACTTTGTTTCTGAAGCTCATGAATGATTTGAATACATTTATTGGTTTGGGATTTCTGCTGGGTTACATCGTTTTCTTTTCCCCAGTGCAATTGATCAAACAATGCAAAAGACCAAGGAATTTCAAATGCATTTGCCAAGGCATAGATTTTAAGAGCCAGGAAGTGATGTGGGAACTATATAAAATGTTCGTTAAGTCACAGCTAGAATATTGTGTGCAGTTCTGGGATCTGCATTATTGGAGGGATGTGATTGCATTGGAGAGGGTGAAGAGAAGATTTACCAGGATGTTGCCTGGGTTGGAGAGTTTTAGCTGTGAAAAGTAATTGGACAGATTGGGCTTGTTTTCCTTGAAGCAGAGGGGACTGTGGGGTGACATGATTGAGATGTATAAGATTGGAGGCATGGACGGAGTAAACGGGAAGAAACATTTCATCTTGGTGGAGGGATCGATGAATGAGGGAATATATTTAAGGTAAAGGGCAGGAGGTTTAGAAGACATGTAAGAAAATGTCTTTTTTTCCACAGAAAAGGTGTTGGGAATCTGGAACTCACTGCCTGTAAGAGTGGTAGAAGTAGTGACTCTCATAACATTTGAGAAATATTTAGATGTATACTTGCAATGACAAGGCATACAAGGAAGGCTTATGGCCAAGTGCTCAAAAATGATATTAGTATAATCAGGGACAACAAGGTGCAGGGCTGGATGAACACAGCAGGCCAAGCAGCATCACAGGAGCTTGTTTTTGATGGATGCAGACTAATGGGCTGAAGAGCATTTTTCCATGCTGTAGAACTTTACGACAGTGACTTGAATTGAATGCATATCTAGTTTCCAAGGTGTTTTGTTCACAAAACTGTCTGTGTAGCAGATAAAACTAATCATTATTGATGGTTTCTGTCCATTTCTCCTCTTGTGGGCCTTAGGGCAGACTCTTAACATTAATTTTTTATTTCTACTTTTGTTTACAAGGCTGCTCATAGCTTTCAAATAACTAAGAAACAGACTAATGTATGCCAGTGAAACCAGTGAATAATCTTTTATTTGTTTTATTTGTAGTCATAACCGTTGACCCAGATTCTGTTTAAAGATATTTCTGTGATGAACCCATTTTCCAGCTGCAATAATAAAACTACAACAGGTTACTACTTAAAAAAAAAAAAAAGCTCCTCGACCTATTTCTTACAAAAAAATTTCCAAAGCATTGTCTGGTGGCGTTGGTTCACAGCAGATTTTGCATTTGGTGACATGTAAATGAACGTGAATGGAAACTTAAGTAAATGAAAATTGCTTCTGAAAGCTAGTGTAATTTTGAACTCAATTTGCACTTGGGATGCTGATGTGCCCAAAGCCCAAAATCTAAACAAGGGACTTGATGAAAGTATTATAATTGTTCAGTTTCATGGAATTGAATGCAATAGTTTGATCTAAGAGCACTTTTGAATTTCATAATTTCTATTTATTTGAAACTATTTTCTGTTATCGTGCGCCATTTTCCTCTCCAGCCCCCTGTGTGAGGAAATCATTTTGTTCTGGAGCAAACGTTTACATGTTAGTTTTGTTTTACGTTAATAATCTGTGTTCTACAGAGCTGTCTATTATAATTAATGTTAACTTTGTGTCTTGCCCTGCAGTTGTCATCCTTAGAAGTGCAGAAATCCCAAGTAGAAGCACAATTACAACAAAAAGAAGCCCTTGTCCAAGCGCAACAGGACGAACTCAACAAGCACTCTCAAATGATAGCAATGATTCACAGTCTGAGTAGTAGCAAACTACAATCAAATACAGTAAATCTCAGTCTGTAACCATGTTTGTGATTTTTAATTTTTAGAGAAATGGGTAATGACACCAGTGTTTGCGTGTAGTCTTTGTATCTGATGCATTAAATATTCACCCTAAGGGACTAAAACTGCAAATTACTTTTAATAAAGAATTTGTAACCATTAGTATTTAAGAAGGGTTTGCTTCAGATTTGAGTGTTTGAAGTTGCTACATTTTTGAATTGTATTGTTTTAAGCACAATTGCTAACAAGGACTTAGCAAACCAGGAAATTCCAGTCTTTAAATATGATGTGATGATTCCAAGCTATATTTTTGTTTGACTGCATTATTAGTCTCAACATATTACATACTCTGGCCATAATCTGACTAACTGTAGGTGGTTTGGGCCAAAACATGTGTTATTGGGCCAGTACTGTTTCTTTTGAGTAGACATGACTTCAGAATTGGAAATTAGCTGTTTCATATTTGAGCAACTTTGTGCCCCACTGAAATGCAGTACAAGAATTCTCCAGTTATATTAGTATCAGACTTGATTTTGTTTTCAGTGTACTGTCCTAGATTCTGATGCCAAATGGATCATTGCTATATCATTCCAGAAGGAATCCATTTTATCTTAATTGTTAAAAATATCTTAATCGTGCTAGTTAGCAGTTTATGCACGATGCAAATGAATGGAGATTTTATATGCTTTTCAATGTTTTTAGAAATGTCCCTGATCAAATTGGGAACGCACTGCTTTGAATGTAAGAAAAATCAATGTGCTGATTTTGTATTTAAAATAACCAACATTATTCTACTGAAAATACAAAGAAACGATTGGAGTTGAACATTCCTATCACTTGTTTAATTCCTGTTCACCTTTGTAATGAATTTTGGTACTGTCATGAACCTGTCATTTTTAGATGTACTGTTTCATTTTCAATTGGTTATGTACAGCCATAAATTGTTATATCTTTATTTTTCTTCCTTCTCCTGATAGAGAAAGTAACATTTAAAAAAATAAAATGTACTTGAAATTAAATGCAAACTATCATTCATACCATACTTAAATGCTTGAATTTTGTTTTCTTAGAAGACTGGTGTTTAAACTTTGAAATTTTTCCTTATCTGGGAAAAGCTGCAGTGTATTCTGATGCATTGTCATACAATTCATTTATTTATTTATTGACTGCATTTCCTGAAATCCCAAGCTGTTCATCCATTACTTCCACTCTCATAACTATGCAATTTCACATCATTCCCTGAAGCACCATTCCATGGCTGAATGCATGCCATTGTAGTTGTTCAGCTATGATCTTTCCTCCTTGTGGGAAATAAGAGTGGAAGAACCAGCCGTGGCTTTTAGGTTATTCACACCTTAGAACTACAGAAGAGAGAAGACATTGGAGTTTGATAGTTTCGACTATGTGGCCAATGGAGTTAGGGAGGTAAAGAATTCCCAGCTACCTGGTGACAATTAAGAATAAAACCAGCCATATTTCATATGAATCAGAGATAGTAGGAACTGCAGATGCTGGAGA